ATTCTGTGCCTACATATTTTGTTACCTTTCTCCTATTCTTCTAAATCCTTCTTATAGATGTCGGTGCCTTCTTTTGGCTTGGGCTTGGTAAGGTAGCCAACAAGGTTGATAATGTCAAGTGTGGAGAAAATTCTTTCTTGCTAGTGTTTGAAATGGGCTCCATTGAAAGTGTCGATCTTGGAAACATCAGGAAGCTTGGTAGTAGCAGCAACCAAGGCAGTAGTAGCAACAACAGAAGCAATAGCAATGGCAATGGAAATGGTAGTGTCCATGATCTATTCTTAAGATTGTTGGAAAATATGTCGTTGATGACTGTCTTTCGAACACAAACCGGCTAATGCTTCTTTGACCACAAACAAAAATTAGGTTGAGACGTGTAAGTCATTGTCCTTAAGAATAGATTTCGCCCCTCAGAGATAGAATTTTGGTGTAGTGGGTTATGGTAGAATTTCGATGTAGCAAGTTATGGTGCCCTATCCTCTAGGATACAACAACCTATTGACCTTTGTAAGTGTACATTCGGAATAATCGGGTAGAATGAACAACTTGAATCTTTCCCTTAAAAAGAAAATGAACTTGAAAACCAATAATTTTTTAGAGTAAGCACTTGATTAGAAAATAGAGAGGATGGTCTTATATCTCAAAAAGACTTGTGGCTGCCAGTATAAATAGTAGAGGTAGAGCACCAGAAAACTGTCATATGACCGTGGCAATTGAAAAAATTAAATCAAAAGATTGTAACATCTATACAACTAATTTAATCATTTAACCAATACGTTAAAACCAATGCTATGTAACTGAAGAATTTTGTTTCAACCGATTTGAAAATAATAGCCAATAGAAACAATTAAATCACTTACGTCAAACGGTCAAAGAAATAAGATTGGGATCAAAACTTAATTTGATATCAAATCCATTCAATGTGTAGTATGAAAGTTTAATCACGAAAGTTAATTTTAAAGATATGGTCAATTCAAAGATAATTCAGAGATAGAAAATTAAATCGAATAAAGGATCAAATATAATCTATACTAATTAATAAAACACTCATTATCAACCAAAATCCTATGAAATTACCAGTTTAACCACCTAATTAAAACAAAACATGAATAAGAAATATGGGGCAAAAATAACTGACAAAGGAAATTTAAGATGAGATTTTGTATTTTGAAATACCACTTAAAAATTCCAACAACAAGTAATGCACTCATAAAGAGATAAGTTCTTAGTATTCTAAATACAATCTACTAATAATTTGCATAACCACACATGTGCTAGATTTAATTGTAACAACACTCCCCTTTGCTTGGAGCTATCGAGTCCATGCTGGACACTGAGGCAGTTGTAGTTAGATCAGCCTTCCTCCGACCCTAGAAAATCATGGTCCCATAGGGAGCAAAATGCTATCATTAAACCTTGCTCCGACTTCTTTATTTCTTAGCCGTTCTAGATTAACGAGGGAGACAAAAAGGGAATTTGCTCCGTCGGAACTCTAGAAGTGCCTAGACTATAGAAGAAGAAGAAGAAGATGAAGATGATGAACAAGTTTGATGACGCTGTGAAGAAGTCCGTTGAAGAGGGAGCTCAACTGTCCCGCAAGGGAAGACCAATGAGGCGCTCAAAACTGGACCTCTCACTCCATTCGAGTTAAAGTTCCTTGAGGCGAAGTGGTGGTAGACTTCAACACTTTTAGCAATTAAAAAATAAGAAGAAGGAGAGGTAATCCTGAGCAAAGGCGAAGGTTTCATTGATAATTGCGTTATCAAAGGTGAATTCGAGGGTGTCTTTATAGTAGTTATTGCATCCTCTTAAGAGTATGATTACTGATGCACACGTCAATCCCTAGATAGTAAGAATCTCCAAGAATATAGGAAACTTATATGATCCTTGATCGGATTAGGTTTTAGTTTCTTCCGGACGAGAATGGTTAATCTCGGTGGAATCAGCAAACTTCGTCTACCTTTCCAGAATACATGATACGGTGGCACCGCTGGTCTGTCCGTGCACCCTAATATGATTAGAGTTGTTGAGTCAATGACCAAATTTCTGAGGTATTCGCATCCTGGTCCACCTTCTCCGCCCTTGGAAAATCATGATCTCACAATCAACATTTAGACCATGATTTTACAAGTACCTAGATTGCAATGATGAATCTTGTGAACGGGTTTATAGCAAAATATCCTTCAGTTCCTTAGCATAGCGTTAGGAGCGTGCTTGATAACGTGTTATGGCCTATTTTGCTAAAGGGAGAGAAAGGGTGCAGCAAAGAGAGAAGAAAGGTTGAATTTTTATGAAGTGTATTTCCCATCATCTGTGCCTTTATTTATAGTAAAATGGGTAAAATTTCTTGCTTTCTAAGTAAATAAAGAGATAAAGATATTCTAGTATCCTAAATACCATATGCTAATGACTTACACAATTACATATATATTAGAATTTATTTCACAACACGGATATTCTAGTATCCGTCTTTGTCCGCCTGCTTTCCTTTCTTCCATCTTTGTCCACCTGCTATTCCCATGTTGTCTACCTGAGAACACGGGGAAAAGTAGGCGAGCAAAGATGGATAAAAGGAAAGCAAGAAAGAAAAGGGACTGCCACCAACCCTTGCCGAGGTGAGGATCAGTGGCTAAACTACTAGATGAAATTTGAAATCTCACACACAATGAGAAAGACACTCATTAAGCCACTGCTACCACCACAACCAGAATCGCCACCATCGACTCTACCATCGCCGCATTGTTACTCTGCACCCCAACCACCAAATCCCACTATTAGCACCATCACCATACCTCCACCTTTGCTGTTATCTCCACCACCACTATCCTTGCCATTGTTATCATTGCCCCCACTCCTACTACTATGTCCATTTTGTTATTGTATACAATTATATCACTTTTACATTACAATTTATCAAACGCTTTTATAGTACTTTTTATACTCACGGCACTTTTAAATTCAATTAACCAAATGCTCATCTGCTTTATTTTACAACAAATTATTCTTAAAGCACAGCAAAAATAATTTTTTAGAAAAAAAAAAAAAAAAACATAACAATCCTAAACCAGCCCTAAATTTCTAGTTTTACCTACAACTTACCCTCCAAATATCCCATTTACTATGCTTTTTGACAGGCTTGATTTTATTGTTTCGGCATCCGCCAGCATCTGGAAAAGTCAAGACTTAAAAACTAATTGGTCAGTTATCAAGGAAGGAGACAGCAGCAGCACTTTGTGTGATTCCAAAGTGAAAGCTTGGTGTTTTCCTTCGCAAACCAAATAATTGGAAGTTTTAATTTCCAAAGTGAAAAGTGATTGAGACTCAGCAACTGCCAAAATTTCCACAATGATGTAAATCAAAGCTGCAATATATATGTCATGACTTATGTTTAAAGATGAGTGATAAACATTTCCTAATAGATCTTGTACATTCAATCGAATTAAATAGTTTAGGTTTACTGTTATTTTGTCTCTATTTAATTGGCCGGGGGCTCTTGTCCCTCTAGTCACAATTCGCCATCTCTACCTTGACGAGCCATCAAATATATATATATATATATATATATATATATTTATTTATTTATTTATTAACAAACGATAATATATACTGAGAGGGAGGGGGTGGCTAAGCTTCATAGTGAGTGAGCAATAAAGTGGCTCAAATTCACCTTTGGCGATAACCGAATATACGACCTCTCATTTACAAGTAAAGAGGAATACCACTAAACCGTAGTACTAAGTAGCATGCCATCATCGCTCTTAATCTTACTAGTACAAAAAACCTAGCTTTGAACCAAGAAACTCTAAGCTCTTGCATCTCACTCATCCACTGGGAAACTCTAACATCTTGAAACACAATTTAAAAAACATGATTTCTCTTCAAGTGTGAAAAATCATTTCCCAAGAAAAAAAAATCAAAATTGCAAGTGGTCTTCTACCAGAGTGGTAGAGAGAAGTGTTATTCTTGCATCACAACATGTGTTCAAATTTTGTTGACTCTCTAATCTAACATCTAATTTAACAAATATATCGCATGATAAAAAAAATGAAAATAAAAACCAAAGCAGCAATTAGTTGAGGAGTAAATCTCTGTCTCTTTGTGTTGTTCTTTTTATTTTTAATGTTTAAAAGACATCATGTGAGTTTGATTTCTCAACTAATTACGATTAGGATTGATAATCATACTAACAATTAATTTTAATTAATAAATTTAGTAATTTAATTGTAATACAACCACACTACATCATCTTCGCTGTCACACGAATCAATTGTCAGACGTGGATGTTTCCTTCTTCATGTCATGTGTCAGGCTGCAGCTAACTTAGGAACAGTGTCATATTTAGTTATTTACAAATAACTTAATTGCTATATAATTTCATCCACATGCATCTTTTTAATTTATCATTTTTGTTTTAAAATAAAAATCAGAAAAAAAATATATAATTGACATAGAATAGTTCAAACTTCTCGAGAAGTAAAAGTGAGCTTTTTTTTTTTTTTTTTTTTTGAACAAACGATATTATCTACAGTAAAGAAGAGCGGGTGAGCTTAACATTACAATGGACGAAATAAAAATGAGTTTTTATTTTTAATTTATACAAATTAGGATGTCAAGTGTCATGTTTATAAATTGTGTAAGCATGAAGTGCTTAATACTGAATCACCCAAGAAACAAAGTACTTTGCTATGCATGCAAAAATTTAGAACTCGTTTGATGACCATTGTTTGTAAGAGCCATTTGATAATAATTTCGCTTTTAGTTTCTCATTTTTTTTAAAAATTGAAAACTCGTATGGTAACTACTATAAGTTTTTTTTTTTTTTTTAAATGAAAACTAAAAACTAAAAATAATTAGCAAGAATTTTAAGTTTGAAAAAAACAAAAACAAAAATTTGAAAACAAAAATATTATCAAACAGCCGCTTAGTTAATACCAAATGGTAACAAATTCAGTATATACAAATAAATAACGAATAGCATGGCTACTCAAAAACTTGGTCGCTTCTGTTTGAATAGTGTCCTGAAGCACTGATATCATTCCATTATATGCAAAACTTTGTAGCAACTGAAACAAAATGCCACTCAAAGGGATGATCCGGATACTTCCCATGGCAGTGAGCCTGCCTGAAAAGAACTCACATTTTCACTCTTTCTGCACGTAACACATCGAACTGGATGATTCGTTTGTTTAGACAATTATCGAGAGCTACAACACTAGATCAAAAAACATTTTACGTATCTCTCAAAGCGCTAGCCCCTCCAGTTTAATATGGTAGGCTCTGTATGTGTAGTGAAGAAATGGACTTTGCGTAACGCTGATAGAAGTAGCATAAGATTGGAGGAGTGTGAGAGCTTGGTCTGTGATAGCCCTATTCCTAGCACGCTTCACCCATTCACCCACTACTTCCGTTGCTTGGGTGCCTTTCACTCCTTCTTCAAATGCCTCTGCTGCTTCGGCTATCTTTCCTTCAGCAAGGTAGTACTCCACTTTGTTGATGATGGATTCAATTCCGTCCCCAGAGTGGTCATCTTCCTTCACCTACACAAAATCCCAAGGACAAGTACAACAAGCACTCCAATAAGTTGATTTATACCACATTCCTAGTGGATTTAGAACGGAAACCCAGACCTCATATCTACTTACCTTCAACCAGGATGCAATATGTGCCAAGGAATGCGCCAAAATGCCACCACCACCAAGAGGAATTAAACCCCTCAACCAGGATGCAATATGTGCCAAGGAATGCGCCAAAATGCCACCACCACCAAGAGGAATTAAGCTGAGGTGCCGTACTGTCCCTTTCAAGGCATCAAACTGCACCAAGAGTTAAGTTTAACAAATACAGCGCTAGGTGTAACCCATCCATACTATGATTTCCAGAATTCACTAATCAGAACTTGAAGCACTCAACTATTTTCAGTTCATAGAACTTCATAGGTCATACTAAAAATGCCGAGAACTCATGTATCAGCAACTTCAATTAATATCTCATCCATTTTTCATATAGATTTTCACTAAGTCAGGATATTGCTCATACTGAACCTGTACCTTTATGCATTTACCAAGGAAAGAGCCAAGACAAATTTACAATCTTAAAAAAAAATGGAACTCAGGTGACTGAACAAACATTTAAGAATTATTTGAAAAGTTTAGTCGATGCATCCTCAATAAAGCATAGTAAATTTTAGTCTTACATATCTTCACAACCAAAAAATATATTAGAAACAAGGCATGACTTCGTCAAACATTCAGGGTATAAGAAATGATGCATTTTGGTCAACTTTATAAAACAGTTTATAGGCAATAGATTAAAAAGATCCTAGTCTACAACAAAACTTTAACAATATCAGCCTAGATAAGTCCAAAAGTCATGTCTTAAAAATGGCAGACGGGGGAATTTCCTCAAAATCCTTGCTAATAAACAAAGAATTTAGTAGATAATATCTCATCAACAGTTTTGAATGCATATTTATAAAGCAATTCAACCTGAAAGTCTGACCAGTCATCTTTCGTGGGTTAGTAACTTAAGATGCTATGCATCTGTAGCCTGTTGCTCTAAAACGATGTATGACTTATAAGGCAACACTTGAGCATAATTTTAACAATCTTTATGTCAAAAAAACTTAGACATGCAATGAATTAATAGCAGGTCATTGTTGTGCAATCAAACTTTCCAGGAAGAAAATAATTCCTTCCATCAACTATATAAACAGTTATGGTCAGTCTTTAATAGAAAACGGTTACGAAAGGGTGATAAGATTTGACAATTGATCATAAGGGTAATGATCTCCTCTAGGAAATACGTGGAAAAGTAAGAAAATACCTACTAACCTTCTGATTCAATTGCAATAAGGTATCTGTGGCATTTCTTCGAGTTTCTTCAGGAAGGATGATAGGACAACATCCAAAATTGAATCTTTATCAATACCTTCAAGATAAGTTTGCTGAGCCTCTATTTCTCTCTCGATTGGTAATCCCTTGAAGGTGCATCATCTAGTGCGAGTGCTCCCCGCAATACCCACAATCACAACACATATCATTGACAGATAAAACTTAAGGGCTTGAAGAATCCCTGATGACGGTATGAATAAAATATGTTCTCTTCTAAATAAATAAAAAGGAAGCAGGAAAAATAATATAATAATTACCAAAGGAAAATTGTGAGCAGAGTGAGTCTGACGAGCTTCTTCAGATCTTGCATAGAATGCCACACACAAGGCATTTATCTACAAAAAGAACCTAAACATCAGATTTTGTAGTGCACGAAGTCGTCAATCACTAATTAGAGGCATTCATACACACATTAGCACTATGAATATTTAAGCTAGATGCATCAGTTACGAACTCAAAGTTGTATAAAATTGAAACCTGCATGCCTTAATCCTCTGAAAGGATCATACGGGGACCATTAGGTCTGAGTTCATTTACTAATTCTTTTATGAATTTTCAGCCCTCAAGATAAGCTTATGGTATAGAAAAAAAGGGACCAAAAATTTGATGCATATGCATAAATAGCTAGAGCATTTTACACCAACAAATTTGCGGCCAGCAAAATTGGAGTTGCATTTCATTTTTTTTGACAAAGGAAAAAGGGATCTTCTGTAAAAAAAAATTGTGTGCCGGCATCTATTACACTTCCCCCTAATTGTTTTTGTTCCTTTCCTAAAATACAAACTTCAAGTAAGCACTGACATGGGTGAACTGAGTTCATTTTCTGAGCAGTACTTTACAAGCAATTGTTGTAGGCAACAAAAAAAATTTCTGGATTCAAATTCTCTCAAAAAAAATCAGAGTTACAATCTTCATTAAAACTTTGTCCTTTTCAGACAGTTCAAATACAAATAAACACAAAATTAGGACCATAAATCCACATTTAGGTGTTTTGATCTATCCTACGGTGACTTGAGTAGTAATCTTACATGAAGATTTGCTTCGGCCATTTTCTCAATTTGGGATGTCTTCTCTCTTGCAATTGCTGCTGCCAATCCTGCTTTTGCTAATTCCTCAACCTTTTTAAACTTCATCTCTGCATCACTTTCCTGCATTTACTTCAAAAAATCAATTTCAATCTACCAGTCATAATATGCTGATGCACCATAAAGACAAAAAGATATAATAAAATAAAAAAAATGACAGCACCAAAGCAATTGTGCACCTTGTGCTCAAGTTCTGTCTTATATGTCTCTTCAAGTTTTTCTTGAAGTGACTTGAGTGCAGCAGCTGCTTTTTCCCTTTCTCTCTTTAATTCCTCAAAAGCATCAGAAAAAAAAATAAGAAAAAACTATAAATTTCCCTATATAAAAATAAAAATAAAAATAAAAAGTACGAACAGTAGCTATATTGAATTAAACAAAAGTTATTTGTAGGTCCTGAATAATCAGGATTACTAGGTCTGGGGGTGGCCAAGAATACATGCGACTCTGTGCACATGCATGTGCTATGCAGGTTACCTATCTCCACTCCTCATGCTTTACACTACAAGTATTCCAACAGGATACGTGTCCTCCTAAAGGTTTCATGCAAAGAAATGATCATTTTCTAGGCCAAAAATATGCATCTTTTCCTTGCATATGAGATAAGTACAGTAAATAAGAGACTAGACTCTTCACAAGAAGACAAAAGACTCCTTTGTGCTAGTGAAACAATGGAATGACTAGTTAAACAGGTCAACATGAATGGCCATTTCGTCTTGCATGGAATTATTGTAGTACTCCAAACTTTTTGAGTCTGTATTGAAATACTAATACTTCATAGTTCAAAATTCTTAATAATACACCAAGGACTTATTCCCAAGCGGGTGCAAAATACCCTTGAGGGAATAAAAAATGTGATGCAAAATGTCTGTCAATAATTAACAACTCATGGAGACACAGTTTATACAAGGTATCCTCCCAGTCAAGGCTCCAAATGAGAAAGCAACATGAAGATAGTCTATTGAAAATAAAACAAATAAGATATATGAGAGAGCTCTTGAACCTTGTCTAGCATTGCTGCCTCTTCTGCAAGCATCAGTTCCCTGGCCCCAGCATCCTTTTGTTCCTTTTCATACTTCTCCTGTGGTGAGCTAGGTAGTCAAATTTATGAATAGTACAGAACTCCCCGCAATACTCTAGTCCATTTTATAAACGAAAGTGAGCCATAAATTCTTGTAAATTTATGAAAAGTACGGAGCTCCCCACGACAATCTAGTCAATCTTATAAAGAAAAGCGAACCATAAATTTGGTAAGTAATAGTAGAAACCTTTAACTTTCTCTTTTCTTCTGAAAAAACACGAGCATCTAACTCCGCTTGACTTTTCTCTGCGGTATGAATGGCTTGTAAGAAGTCAAGAACTAACTTTCCACCTTTGGATACGTAAGCATCGTTTAGCCCTTTGATTACATCGAGCGCCTATTAATTTAAAGAACCAGAATTCAGAGAGTACAATTGGACATTCCCTTTTAATATTGTAACATCAATATGCATCAAACGACGAACACAAATTGCTTATAATTACCTCTTTTTCATTAGGAAAGCTATTGTATTCATTACCATCCTGGCTATTAATAAATTTGATGTTTTCGTTGGCCTCATCCTTCAGATGATATGCCTTGAGGAGAGAACCTGAGATGGCTCTTCACCAACACCTAATGCAACCAGTAAAAACAAAGTTTCGCCAAAAGCAACTTCATTTAAAGCCCATTCAAATAAGCTCTCTTCAATGTTAATGTCCAATTGACAAATTGTTTTTACTCATAACTCTTGTGATATATCATGTTGCATTGATAATTGCAGCCTAAACTATTAGCATTCACTATCCACAAGTACTTGAAATTATTAAAAGGAACCCAAATGAGAACTACCTCTGCCTTGTCTTCTGTGAAATTGTGTTGTGGTGGCGGTGTCTTCACCTCATTTTCTTGCTGATCTGCATTGGTCTGGGAAACCACTCGCGGTGTTTGTATCACCTCATTTTTCTCCACACTTGTTTCTTCCTCTACACTCTTCACGTCTACATTCCCTTCAGATGATGACCCAAGATTCGCATTTTGGGAATACTCAGGCAAACCTTTCTCACTTGCTATGTCACTCTCCGGTTTATTACCATCAGCCACCTGAGACTGCGGGTTTTCGCCATTAATTCTACTCAAACCCTCCACATTGGGAACATCCGACTGCGTTTCCACCTTCTCCTCAGCAATGCCAGTTCTTTCTTCATCATGTTTTTCTTCTCCTACATGTTTGTGATCCTCGAAACCAATGGCGGCATCCTTAACCGAATCACTCTTCTCTTTCGCACCGAAAATTGGGTCTAGATACCCGGTTTTGTAAGCTGCCACAAACCCAGCACCAACAGCAGCGCTTCCGAGGAAAATTTTGGCACTGGAACCGCCTTTTCCCGGCTGCGGCGGATTGGGTGCACCACCAGGATGGTGGGAAGAAGTTCTGGACGCTACGGCAGAGAATTCCCTTGTAATCGGCCTCGGAATCCTTCTTCTAAGTCCACGACAAGATGCAATCTGCAGAATTGACCTTTGCAACATGGATTTCTGGGGAGGGAGAGAGAGAGAGAGAGAGAGAGAGAGAGAGAGAGAGAGGGCGCTGAGGTGAAGATGTTTGATGAAAGGTCGGAGCGCGTGAGGAGTCAGCGGACAACGGTCTCGAAAGAAAGGGGTTCGTTCTAGTGGGGCTGGTGGTGGTGGTGGAGGTGGAGGTGGAGGTGGAGGTGAAGGAGCCGAGTGGCCAACTAATAAAGTGGCAAAACGAATCGTTTTGGTCTGGGCCGGGTACATAAATAAATAAGGAAGAAGCCCTAAGTACATCTCGCGCTCTCCTCTCTCTCTCCCGCCCAACGCCTAATTCTTCCTCAGCGGCTTCTCACTCCCAGCCCGCTCGTCCTCTCCATCTCTGAGCTCGGTAACCCTAACCTAACTACCTCTCTCTCTCTCTCTCTCTCTGCATTTAATTTTGTGGGTTCTTTCTCTGTCTCTCTCACTTGAATAGTTTCAGAAAAGGGTCTGTGTTTTTGGGTAACTTTCTTCCATTCCATATGGGTTTTTGTTAGTTGTTGCTTGTGGTTTGGAGTTGCTTGAATTTAGATGCTTTTGTGTTTCTGCAACTGGGATTTGAATTTTAGGAGAAACCCAGAGCCACTTTTGTGCATTTTTTAGGTAGCTTCAACTTATCATTCTTTTTACTGTTTTATGAGGCTTTAATTTCATTTTATTTCATGATTGTGTAGGTCTAACTTTGACAAACTTGGGTAAGAATGGTTGATTTCCTGTTTGATGATATATTTAGCATTGAGAAAGTGGACCCAGATGGCAAAAAATTTGACAAAGGTTTGCCTCTCTCTCTCTCTCGTCATTGCCACTTGCCAGTGCCAGACAATTTCATTCAGTTTTTCCAATCTTCACCAGATGCATTTATCTGCTTCTGAAATTTATTTCCATCTAATCCTCTTTTGCATAATCATGGTCCTCATATGCATTACTCGAGTCTCGTTGTTGTTAAATGTGTGTGTGGACATTGTATTTCTTTTTTACGCATCGTAGAATTGATTTCTATTGTGTTTATACTTCAATGAACTGAACTGAGGTCTATATTCAAAGCAACATAAAAAATGAGAATTCAGTTCTGTTTGTTAATTGATTTACTAGAATGAATTTTGCTATTTGTAAATATTTCGAAATTTCTTCTCCGCTCTTTTTAACGGTCAATCCTTTGGGGTTTGGACATTTCCCTCACGTAATTAATTGCCCCACATTATTGGAAAACGCCTTTTCACACTGTTAGGTTGGCTTGGCAATGGCATGATCTATAAAGCTTTCGACTTGTCTGAAAAATATTCTAATGCTCTTTGGTGCTCTGCTTAATTTTGATATGTGTTTCTTTAGTTTCCCGGATTGTAGCACAGAGTGAGAAGCATGATGTGTTGCTGCTCCTAGATGTGAATACGGAAATATATCCTATGCATGTAAAGGAGAAGTTCTTGATGGTGCTGTCTCCCACACTTGAGTGGAGCGGAGCACCTGTTACTGGAAAACGTGGGCAGGTACTCTACTTTGCATGATGTTCCTTTTGAAGTGGAAATAAATTATAACTTTGAGAATTGGTAGGATTTTTCCTCTCCTCGTACTAATATTTTGACCTCCGAAATTTGAACTCTGATGCAATCTCGTGGGTTGGTAGATTGAAAACTGGGCACATGTGCATGTGTCTTCACATGTTTCAGTAAGGGAAGCAAAGGGCAGAATAGACTAGTACCAGTAAAATTTCAAATGGCTTGTAGTATACAAAGTTGACGGTTTATAGTAAAACATTCCATTGACATGTTCATGTCTGATTCTCTTTCACATGATCTCTGTCAGTAGAGAAGACGAGTAAGAATAATATCCTGTTCCATTTTGTATATTGTGTTAAAATTACTCCTTTTGAGCGTATTCCTGAATACTGCTACCTTTTGGCAGGTTGAGCAGAAATCTCTTGCTGACAAATTTGAATATATTATGCATGGATTGCTGTACAAAATGTCAACAGCAAGTTCAGAATCTTCAAAAGGAAACCCCAAGGCTTCAGATGAAGGTTCAAAGACTGAGGTCAAAGTGTACGTGACATATTGTTCAAACTATCTTTTCTTGCAACCTTTGAAGTTTCTTGTTTGCAAGTTGAGCTCATGACTCAACATACACGCACAGACACACTCTCACTTACGCAGAGTGAACGTTACTGACGTGTGTCTGGTTTAGTGGGGGTTCATTTTTTTGGATATCATTTAGGGATTGCTTATGATATATGCAAGTAGCGCTCTTGTTTTAAAAATCACATTTAGGTCGAGATCCATTTGATCTCTGGTATATTGCTGTCCTCTTACAAATTGTGAGACTAAAAAGAGATGAATTTGTTTTGATCGTTTAACGGCCTTGCGGTCATCTTCCTAACATGCATTTTGACTGGGTTTATGTGATTGGCTTCAGGGAGGTATACGCTTCATTTGGTGGGCTTCAGATGATGCTGAAAGGAGATCCTTCGAGTTGTACTAAGTTTAAGATTGATCAGAACTTATTTTTGCTTATCAGGAAATTGATGTGAGACTTCTCGCATGATTGAATGGCTTTTAAAACCTCTACATTGCTGTTACTTTATACCCTTTTAAATAGGTCGAATTCAACTTTTGCGTTTCTTTAACGCTGCTAATGTTGCAACTTTGCAATTTTCTGATATATGTTTTTCTTGGTGAACCAATTTTTTGAGTTCATATTGCATGCTAGGGAAGCTAAGTTTGTAGACAAAATTTTGGAAACTAAAAATATGAAAGTTGATGATTGGTTTATTACTTATTGCCGAGACTTTATTTAGTTTGCAAATTTTATTTCTAAATTTAGTCTTCTTAGCATTAGTGCTATTGTAAGTTGTGAAACTTCCCGGTTGGTCATGATTAGGGCGGCTGGTTTTTCAGTTTTAAATCTAGCCCTTGTTGGTTGTAATCCTAAAAGACAATCCTTTCACGATAAGACCTTTCGGTTGATACATTTGATTAAATCGTTACTAGCATATGCTTACACACTTTGTGTCTGTGAATATATTTTATTTTTATTTTTGAAAAAGGGAATGAGAGAGGGAGAGAACATGAGAGTGAGAATAGAAAGAGAGGTATTTTATTTTTTATTTTTTAATATTAAATATATGCTAAAATTACTTGTAGCTGAGGTTTCGATGAAAAACAACAAAATTTGGTTTTGTAAACTTTCATTATTGCCCATCATTTTTTTTATGTGGTAGACAGTTTGGTAGGCAGTTTGGATTAAAGATTAATTGGAGATTAAGAAATAATACGAAATAACATCACATAGACAGAAGTAGTCCAAATGAGTTTGGAGGAGAAGCCTGAGAAGTAAACATACTAACAACAACAAGCGAATTAAGTTGTGAGTGATAAATAGGTGAAAAGTTAATTAAAGGATTCTTCTCTTCACATGAAACATGTGCATACAAATCAATTTCTAGTTATTCTTTCTATAAATCGTTATGACAATGTCCCAGGTTAATAATGACACACTAATTAAGCCTCAAATTTTCCTAAGTTCAATGAAAATGAACGCTTTGCTCGTCAAATTATTCCTCTCATGACATCTAACTACGATACGTGATAAATATTCATATCAAATGACACACCTCGATCCCGATATTCCCCGAATACCAAGCTAGGTATGTACTAGCCGACATCCAAGAGTGACGAAAGCCATTTATTGAATGCAAATGTTGAGCAAAAGAAATAAATAAGACTCATAAATTTAAATATAATGAATATGCATTTAAGGAACGTGTTCAGAGCATACAATTAACTAGAATATTAAAAGAAATAATATAAAATTGAATGAATAAAAGAATGGGTCCTACATAGAGGACTCGAAAATACCAATGCGGAAGTGCTTTGACGCTGGGATTATATGCCTCGATTCTAAGTCCTGAACGGGACGCAAAACAAACATGAGTGGACCAAATTGATATATATATATATATATATATAATAAAACAGTTATCAATATACTAATCCCCAGGTTTTATGAAAACACATATATCATGATAAAAATAGGTTTTCCGAAACCTAGTATGCCTTGCAATGTCTTAAATCATAACTCATATTTATCGTAATCACTAGTGAATGTTCAATATCCCTCTAGGTCCCATGCCAGCTCCCCATCTGTGTGCCAATTGCCAAAGGAAAATCATCTTCAGGCCCCGTGCCAGCTCCCCATCCTTGGGCTAATTACCAGAGGAAAAAGCCTTCAAGGCCTATGCCAACACCGTAACCGTCACCCGGGACAGAATCTATCCCTCGCCCCGTAGCGGAATAGGGACCACTAGATAAGTACAAAACTATTGAACATACATATATTTAAAAAGCAACTTCATAGTATAAAGTCATCCATTATCTATGCTATGAAAAGGTGTTCTAAACATGTTCTAAATAGTATATCGTCATCCATCAAATATTCTATAAAGAACAAGGGTTATAGGAAAAATAGTAGTAATTCAATCTAGCCTCAGTAAGCATGTCAAAAACGGATTCAGATTGTCGAATTACCTTAAGAATGGTCCTAGGTAAATTTCGAAAAGTCAACATAAAGAATATTCCAAGGAATATTCCCTAACAAAATATTCCCTAATGGAATATTCCCCATAAAGGGTATGGGCCGGTTAGGGTTTAGGGTTTGAAATGTTAAAGGGTTTTGTAAAGACTTGGGCTAGGGCTAAAGGTTAGGTTAATGGGTGAGGGCTTAAAGGGGCTTTGGGTTCCAAAGCCCAAAGGTTTCAGGGTTGCCCAAAAGGGCTTTAAGTTTAGGGCCGAAGGCCCTATTCAAATGGCCCAAGGGCCTTTGGGTTTTAAAAGAAAAATAAACAAATAAATAAATAAATATCAAATAATTGGGTTGGGCTTGGGTAATCTGGCCCAAGGCCTAGACTTAAAAGGATTTGGGTTTGAGGTTTTAGCGGGCCAAGGCCCGACGTTGGTTACGGCCCAAAGGGCCTAAGTTTGGTGGGTCGCCTGACCTCAAGAAGAAGAAGGCTGGATTTCGGCCGGAAAATTGGACAAACTTTAAACATTCATAACTTTGTCAACACTCAAAGAAATGTGATTCAAAAACAAAAATCATAGTTCTCGACGAGATGAAGAGAATGGTACCTCGCACGACGGCCAGAAAACGCCTTGAAGTCGCCGAGGTCGCCAGAAAACTGGGTAAGATTCAAAGGAAAGTTGTAGTACTCAGCGAGACGAAGAGATTGATACCTTGCACGTCGGCCAACTTGCCATGGTTTGGCTAGAAATTGGCCCGAAAGCCATCAGACTCGTTGGTAAAACTGGGAAAACACCTCCGAGTTGTTTCTTACTACAAACCTTCACCAAAGCACCTAAAATGAGTCCTAACTAGGGTTTGATCGATCGAAGAGAAAGATTAGAGAGAGTTCCGAAGCTTACCAAGGTCGAGGGATGAGAAATCTGTTGGAAATGTGCCCTAAAACCAATCATATGATGATACTTTATGGACATTTCACATGTTAAACTAATCTAGTTTAATATTAAGGGCAAACATTATTGTTTGAGCCGTCTCATATAAATGTTATATGCTTAAACGATAAGTCCAAGGAATATGTGATTGGGAGAATGCGATCTAAAGAAGTTAGATTCATGAGACCATTCTTTCGTAGACACATCCTAAACGTTCCTGATCATAGGATTGCCAATTGGGCATTGACAGTCCGTTAAGATCAGTACGTGCTGTGTCTTCTCTCAGGGAGAGTGACTAGTCTCGAGTCATTGGTGTGAGTGACACCAAGACAAGCATGTAGGTGCTCAATAGAGAATGAGTTCACTGAACACGATCAACGAGGAGTTCTCATATTCATGTCACATGAGAACTCATGTTTGGGATAATGCAAAGTAGTCCTTTGACCTGAGGCATCACAGCTGTCTTGTGGTTAGGTACTTGATCTTTGATTATGTCAAAGTCACTCTATCAGGGTGTCCACGGCATCGTCGGGGTTAAGCCACTTAGCCATGGAGGCAAGTGAATGCGCAACAAGGGATCTCTAACCTTCAAACTGTTTGAGGGAGAATACTCTATGATATGATTTAGAATCTCTGGCCAGAGTATAAATGAGATGTTGGAATGCGTTCCAGATCACATTCAAGGTAATCATATAAGTACAAGATTCACATTGGATAGTAGACATGAATAAACTATCAAACCAAACAATGTGGTCAAGAGTATTGCATTAGAGAAAAACCGTATTGCATTTGTAATCCTAAAACTGAATAGGTTCTCCACCTCTTCTGATTAGCTTGGGTAACCATGACATGCTGCTAGGCGTCAACCATGGTTTGTGGAAGCCCTAAACGTGTATAAACACTAAAGGGAGAATTGAAAGTAAGTTTCAATCCACAATCGATTTGAAAGAGTTTGAATCGCCCACTGCCTCGCTAAAAGGAACCTAATGGATCGTACACCGTGTAAGGTAGAGATTGAAGATTCAACGGAGATGAGTAAGAATAATTAAATGGTTTAATTATTTATGGCAAGGATTAATTAATATGTTAATTAATCAAACGAATAAGTTCGTTAAAAGACCTCGGGATAGTTTTGGACCTTAAGGCCCAATGGGCTTCGAACGTCAAGTCCATTGACTTAAGTTGTATGACAACTTAATGAATAATGATTCACAAAGGCCCAAATAGCCCAATAAATCCCCTTAGGCCGGCCATGTTAGAGAAGGAGTGGTTTTGGACTTATTTACAAGTTTGCCACTCAAATGAATTAAGGAATAAGTATGACTTAATAGCCAAAATTCATTAAGGGTTATTTTTGGGGAAAGGATGAGAACACAAGCTCTCATTTCTCTAAAAAATTTCGGCCATCTTGGAGGGATCATCTAGCAATCAAACTCCTCCAAGGTCACTCATTTCTTCTTCATTATGCCTTGGTGATGAATCATTAGAGGTTCTCAATTTTGGGAACTTGGAGAAACCTTTTCATCCATCCAAATCCATGGATCTAAGATGCAAGGAATGAAGGCCCTCTCTTTGGGTGATTAGCCTTTGCTTATGCAAAGAGGAATCTACAAAGGTATTGATTTCTCAACTCACTTTGTTTTGAGTTGAGTCTTGGTTCACCTATCTACTAGGCTTTGAATTTCATGGGTAAATGTTTTGTTTTAAGTGCATACAAGCATGATTCCGCCTTTAATTGTTAATTGCATGTTATTGATGTTGCTTAAATGAACATGTTTTTCACAAATCTTCCTTCAAAATCTTGCCGGAGTCGAACTCCAAACAGTGGGGGTACCACTATGCAGAGAGAGAATGCGAAAGAGAGAGAGAGAGAGAGAGAGAGAGAGAGAGAGAGCGTGGTACAGTGGTGTGGTGGTGTCGTCGTCGAAGTCTCCTTGGGTGTGGGGTGACTGGGTGTGTGTGTGTGTGTGTGTGAGTTCGGGGAAGAGGGAAGAAGAGAGTTACAGAGAGTCGAGAGGGAAAGACAAGGGAAAAGGAGGGACAAGAGAGAACTGAGAGAGGAGAGAGAGAGAGAGAAAGACTGAGGGACACAAATCAAGGGGTGGGCCCCTTGGGGTCACCAATTAAGACCCAAAAATCAATTTTAAAAGAACGAAAATACCCCATTCGTTCCGATAAAATCGAGATGGGTTGTTACATCAAATATTATGAAACTCTATGAAAATCATAAGTATTGACAAACATTT